ACTGGAATCCGCTAACACCTCATATCATCACCGAAATCAACCGCAAAAAGTATCCAAATCACCTCAGACGTGAAGGAGGAGACATCACCCTGCTGATTGTTGGTCATCGGTCACATGACGTACTTGCCTCATATGAAGAAGCTCTCTGTGTTCGTCGCAGAAGCCTCCAGCTTCGACCGCATGTAGATATCCTCTGGTGACTGGTGTACCTCCGCTGCCGCGCTTTCCCGATGCTCTAAAATCACTCGCCGATTCATTCCGCCGCATGTCCGGGATGGATTGATTCAACAACATATGAAGATTCCGAACGAAACCGCAGAACTTAGAAAAGTAATATAGTAGCTATGATATTAATAACCACGACGTTCTAGCTTCATTACGTTTCTTGTTTTATTTTATTTTCAATTGTTTACTCTATTAAATATTATGTATTTCTCTATTTATTCTTTATTATATCCGTTTCTTCTTTATGTAATAAAGCTAATACGAATTTCTCCCTTATAAAAGTGATATAATGACTACGATATTAATGAGCACGACGTTCTAACATAAATACATTTTTTTCCGTTTCAATTGTTTACTCTATTAAATATTATGTATTTCTTTATTCACTCTTTAACATAACCCAAGTTCTAGTATAAATATAGTTTTTGTTTTATTTTCAGTTGTTTACTATATTTATTATGTATTTCTCTATTCACTCTTTACCGTAACCGTTTAGTAATAAACCTATAATGAAGTTCTCTATTTAATTCTCCATTTACTCCAAAATATAGTTATAATGGAAATTTTGAATGACCAATCAAAATTTACAAATTTGCCACATGGATGATTATGTGGATGATAAGGTGGCTTCACCACAATCCTTTAAATTCTTTTATTAATATATATAGATTTTTAAATAGTTACATAAATAATATCTTGAAAATTATAATATAATAAAGTTTTTTTAACAGCAAGGATTCATATTTTTTACGTAATTTTTACATTCAGATATCATATGATAAAATTCTAATTTATATTATTATCTCACTGTGATCAATTATATATAGATTTAATAAAGTCAACTTTAATTACAAATAAATCTATCATACTACTTCATCAAAAAAGGTAACAATGTAATTTTTTTATGAATAAATGTCACGTTAGAACCATCCAAAATAGAATTACACAAATTATTTCCTTATCTTTTTCCAATTAAAAGTCCTATATATATACACATATATATGGTTTTGCATGTATACATTATACACTTATATGTACACGTATAAACATATACATATACACATACGCATGGATGCATGGATGACACAGACATATATATATATATATATATATATATACATGTATGTATGTATATGGGGGTATACGAAATCGCTATGTGCAAGGACATTTAGATTTTGAATTTTATATTTATTTAAAATTTGATATTTGTGTCACTTTGCTAGTGAGAAATATGATAACAGGGATTCAACAAATGGTTTCCAATTCGATAATTATTTTATAATATCAAATTAAATGCGTGTTATATTTATACGATTGTTAATTTATAAATCTACAGAAGTGGAAGTAACAAAGCATTAATTGAAAAATAAAAATTAGAAACTGCGTAGTGTTTATTCCCAAAGTTGTCCTTTTCTCGTAGGCAATTAATACATGCTTTAATAATCCAATCAATGGTCCAACACTGTTTAGTATAAATAGAATAAAATGCAGAATCTTAATATTAATTTATAAATAATAGAAAAGCATGTTTTAAGACATTAAAAATAAATTATTTCAACTTCAAATACTAAAATAGAGTTGAACCTCCTAATATTTTAGTTTATGGAGATTAGAGATCTAAGAGAAAGAACAGAGCTTGAAGGCTTCAAAGAACAACGAAGAAGATGAGAGAAAAAGGCCAGAGAAATAAAGGAATTTTCTTGTATTGAATAATGCTCACTGTACACTTTACACAACATACAAGCTCGATATATATACAACTCATTTGTGGTCCCAATACAAAAAGCAAGTAGCAGAGGATGCAAGTCCGTTAGCAGACAAGAATAACCCCGCACATATAAGGTCTACCTTCTGTACATCATAGCTCAGAATCATTGCAGCTTCATCTCCAAGTATTGGAGATTAATACTCCCCCTCAAGATGGAGAATACAGATTATGTATTCCCATCTTGAGTAAAAGTCGATGGAATTGTTCGAGATATAAAGGCTTGGTGAGCAAATCTGCTAGTTGATTCCCTGAAGATACGTGAGCTAAGGATAAAAAACCAGACTTAACCTTGTCACGGACGAAGTGGCAATCGATTTCAATATGTTTAGTCCTCTCGTGGTAGACCGGGTTTGTAGCAATATGTAGTGCAGATTTACTGTCACAATGTAACTGAATTGGAGTGGACTGCGAAATACCGATGTCATGAAGAAGAGCAGATATCCAAACCAATTCTGAGGTAGTTTGAGCCAAAGCACGGTACTCTGACTCAGCGCTGCTCCGGGAAATTGTTGATTGTTTCTTCGATTTCCATGATATCAAGGAACGACCAAGAAAAACACAGAATCCCGTAACAGATTTCCTCGAATCTGGGCAAGCTGCCCAATCTGCATCAGAAAATCCAATGATATCAAGGCTGTTATCAGCAGGGTAGAAAAGACCCTGACCTGGAGCATTCTTGATGTATCGAAGCACTCGTAACGCAGCCTGGTAGTGAGAATCTCGGGGGCAGGACATATATTGACTAAGCTTTGTGACACAAAAACTGATATCGGGACGCGTAACAGAGAGATAAATAAGTTTCCCAATCAACTGCCGATATCTAGTTGGATCAGACAAGAGAGTACCAGAGTCCTGGCTGAGTTTCAGCTTTGTTTCCATGGGAGAAGATAGAGGCCGACAACCCAACATCCCAAATTCTTCCAATAACTCTAAGGCATATTTTCTTTGGCAGATTTGAATCCCTTCTTTGCTCCGAGCCACTTCAATGCCAAGAAAATATTTCATGCTACCCAAGTCTTTGATCTGAAATTCTGATTGCAGCTTGTTGCGAAGCTCATCAAGTAGCTCAGAATCGTTACCTGTTATGAGCAGGTCATCAACATAAACTAGCACCACAACAACAGCAGATTTGTGATGTCGAACAAACATAGAAGTGTCTGATTGGGATTGAGTAAATCCGGCAGCCAGAAGTACAGTGGAGAGTTTGTGATTCCATTGCCTCGAGGCCTGTTTGAGGCCATACAATGATTTGTGCAATCGACACACATAATTCTCAGCAAATGTCTCCCCCTGAAGATGTGCATAGCCTGGTGGGAGAGTCATATAGATTTCCTCTGTGAGATCTCCATTAAGAAAGGCATTAGAGACATCAAAATGATGGAGAAGCCAGTTGTTTGCTGCGGCAAGAGCTAATAACAATCGAACAGAAGTCAATTTCGCAACAGGACTAAATGTATCAGAATAATCGATGCCTTCCATCTGCGTGTAACCCTTAGCAACGAGGCGAGCTTTGTGTCTCTCAATCGAACCATCAGGATTGTATTTGACTTTGAAAACCCATTTACAGCCAATCGGTTTCTTTCCAGGGGGCAAAGAACAGACGGACCAAGTCTGGGTCCGAGTTAAAGCTTCAAGCTCCAAGACCATTGCTTTTCTCCAATGATCGAACTTGACAGCTTGGGTGTATGATGTTGGTTCAGGTGTAGAAGAGATGGATAAAGTGAAATGGCGAAAGGATGGTGTAAGGCTAGCATAAGACAAATATTTGGTTAATGGATGAGAGGTGGTGGTTGTAACAGGTGGTGGAGAATCATGGGTGAGATAATAGCAGTGATAGTCGGATAGATATAATGGTGGCCTAGTTTGTCTATGTGGCCGAGTAGTATCTTCTGACATACATTCAAGAGAGGGAGGAGTAAGCATGAGAGGAGAAGGGGGATTAGGAGTATCTGACGAGTTTTGAGGTGGAGATATTGGTTGTGGTGTAACAGGGGAATGAGGAACAACAGTGGATAAAGGGAGTTGGAGAGGAGATATTTGGTCTGGAGGTGAGTGTGAGTCATACAGATAGTATGGATTTGGCTTGGGATCTAGGAAGTCTAGGGTGGTCTGAGGCAGTGACTCGGTTTTAAAAGGAAAGGTAAGTTCATGAAATATGACATTTCTTGAGATAGAAATGCATTGAGTTTCTAAATCAAGAACTCGATAACCTTTAATTCCAGTGGGATAGCCAAGAAAGACTGAAGGTTTGGCTCTAGGAGAAAATTTGTGGCGATTTGGTGGGTGAGTAGACACAAAACAGAGGCAACCGAAGACACGTAAGTGTGCATAGGTAGGCTTGGTAGAAAGGAGGACTTCGTAAGGAGATTTGAATTGAAGAACAGGGGTTGGAGTTCGGTTTATCAAGTATACGGCAGTTGCAACGCAGTCACCCCAATAGCAAAGTGGTATATTAGATTGAAAAAGAAGTGATCTTGCAACATTCAAGATATGTTGATGCTTACGCTCCACAACCGAGTTTTGTTGTGGAGTATAAGGACATGAAAAATGATGAAGGATACCTTTCTTTGAGAGTAAAGAGGTGAAAGATAACTCAGGAGCATTATCGGATCTGATCGTTTTTACTGTCTTTTGGAATTGTGTTTGAACCATGGACAGAAAATCAGAAAAATAGACAGAAACATCACTCTTTGATTTAAGTAGGTAAACCCAAGTTGCTCTTGAGAAATCATCAACAAGAGTAAAAAAGTATTTGTGTCCTGAAATGGTGGGCACACTAAAGGGACCCCATACATCAAGATGTACTAAATCAAAAACAGAAGAAGATGAAGTCGAAGAAACGGGAAATGGAAGACTGCGTTGCTTTGCCATTGGACAGACTTGACACTGAAAATTGTCTTTCTTGGCTTTGTTGAAAACTGGTTCCAAAGAGTTTGCCGAGTTTTTGATGCTGAAAGAAGAAGGGTGACCAAAACGGAGATGCCAAACATCAGGATTGGAAAATGTGTTGGCTGTGTAGGGTGGTATGGACAGTGGCTGAGAAGAAGAGTTCGGGATCCGCATTTCAAGGATGTATAGGTTCTGCCGTGCATCACCTTTTCCAATCATCGAATCCCGAATATGGTCCTGGATGATATAAGAGTTGTGAGTGAATGTGACAGTATAAGAGGTATTCTTGGTGAGGGCACTTACACTAATGAGATTGAAACGGAAATCTGGCACAAACAAAACAGAGGATAAAACGAAGACAGGAGAAATATAGACAGTGCCAGATCGATTGACGGAAACTAGAGATCCATTTGGTAAGGTAATGGTGATTTGGGGAATTGAATGTATGTCAGAAAATAATTTCTCATCACAACAGACATGGCAGGTGGCACCGGTATCCAAGATCCACACAGCGGAAGTAAAAGAAGGTGTTTGTAGAGTGGTGGTTAAAACAGAGAAAGAAGGGAGAGTACCTGGAGAGAGAGAATGGGATATGTTCGGAGAAGCTGTAAGTTCTGGATCAGAGAGAGAGCTGCTCAGGCCTTGAAACTGCGAAGTAAACTGGGCCAGCAAGGTGTGAGCCTGTTCCAGAGCCGTCGTCCCAGAGCCAGAACCTGTCGAAGTAGAAATAGGCGCAGCAGTATCAGCGGGGTTGCTTACCAGATTAACCGAAGAAGATTTGCGATCTCCTCCATAGTTTCTGGATTTAGGAATAAAGGCCTGCTTCGAGGTCCAGTTCGGCAGCGACTGATACTGAGGGCCTTTGTAGTTCGCAGGATAACCATGGAGTTTGAAGCATTTGCTCATGGAATGGCCCAGCATGCCGCAGTGAGAGCAGAAGAGTCGTGGACGAGAACCAGAGTTGAACTGGGCCGACGGAGGAGTAGGGAGAATAGCCCGTGATTTATGGGCCGAGAAATGAGGCCCAGTCTGAAAAACAGCAGCATCATTGTTGCCAGGGAGAGTGAGGCGTTGTTGCTCCTCTTGAGCGACGAGGTTGAAGGCACGAGAAATATCCGGCAGAGGGTCCAACATCAAGATCTGGCGTCGGGCAGGTGTGTAAGAATCATTGAGACGCATCAAGAAATTTACCACATTTCTACGCTCAATGAGATCTAGCCAGCGGCGTTCAAGGGAGCAAGAACAGTGTCCACAGCTACACACCGGGAATGGCTCATGATTTTTGAGCTCTTCCCAAAGAGAGGTCATCTTGGTGAAATACATGTTCAGATCCATGGAGCCCTGGTGAAGAGAGTCCAGCTGATGTTGGATGTTGTAGAGTTTGGCTGCGTTTTTCTGTTTAAACCGGGATTCCAGGTTTTTCCAAACAGTAGCAGCATCATCCATGTACACGATCAAGCTGGCGATTTCAGTAGAGACAGCGTTGGTGATCCAGGTGGAGACAAGAGCATTGCACCGTGCCCAGGAACCAGAGTCAGGATGGTCATCAGATGGCTTCTTGACAGAACCAAGAACAAACCCTAGTTTGTTCTTTGCCAAGAGGGCTTTTTCAACAGATCTGGACCAAACGCTGTAGTTGGCTTCACCGAGGAGTTTTTCCGACACCAGAATAAGACTGGAGGAGTCAGCAGCATGTAGGTACAGAGGGTTGGCATAAGGATCTGTTGTTGCCATGGTTGAGGATGAGGCAGCAGAGTTGGGAGTGACAGATCCAAGAGAGGGGCTGTGTTGTTCTTCGGGCAAAGAGGCCATGGTTGAGAGAAAGAGGTTAAAAAAAAAGAAGGAGAGAGCAAAGACCGAGAAACAAGAAAAAGGGTATCAAACTGTGAGAAACTGGATGCTCTGCTCTGATACCATATGGAGATTAGAGATCTAAGAGAAAGAACAGAGCTTGAAGGCTTCAAAGAACAACGAAGAAGATGAGAGAAAAAGGCCAGAGAAATAAAGGAATTTTCTTGTATTGAATAATGCTCACTGTACACTTTACACAACATACAAGCTCGATATATATACAACTCATTTGTGGTCCCAATACAAAAAGCAAGTAGCAGAGGATGCAAGTCCGTTAGCAGACAAGAATAACCCCGCACATATAAGGTCTACCTTCTGTACATCATAGCTCAGAATCATTGCAGCTTCATCTCCAAGTATTGGAGATTAATATAGTTGTTTTAGTTTTTTTTTAAAAAAATCTAAGACGCAAAAATTTAACATCATATATATCTAATATAATATTGACTGGTCCGAATCAAAACTAACTATTGTAAATTATTTTAAATTTAACTTCACGTTTCTTTTGATACAATTTATTCCAGTTCAGAAATTATAATTAAATGGTTACTTAATTTAAATTACTTCGTTTTGGTTAAAATATAATTGATAAATTATATTTTGATTATGATATATAAACTAACAATAATCAAATTTAAATTCCATCCGCTCACAACCATAAAATATAATAATCATTAGCTTCTTCTATGCGATGACCATTAGAATCTATCTATCTATATATATATATATATATCGACAACTTCAATCCACAGGAAATCAATACGCAATTCATTTTTTTTTAATTGTTATATACAAACAAAACATAAAAGGACATTCCTCTTGACCCAAATAACCGAACTTTTGTGACATGAAAACCATCCTCCAAAATTATACAGACCAATTGTTGAGGTTTTTTTTTTTTTTTTTTTTGGACAACCAGGATGGTTTTTCGGGTCGGTCTGTCTACATCCACCCTAGTCCCGGGACCAGTCTTTGTATATGGACCAATTGTTGAGGTTAGAGGTTAGTGTAGTATTTCATGCAACAAACTAAAAAGACCCTACTATCCCCTATTGCCCCAACAAAATTCTTACAGCACAAAACACCATATTCTCAACAGCAGGTTTCTATTCAGTCATTGGGATCTATCTATTACCTTTCTCTGCTTCGGCTAAATCATCAGCGAATCCATCCAACAAATAATCACAGATCTCAAGCAACTGATCGGCCAAAGGAGGGATGGTGGGGGTACCGGCCATTGTTGTAAAGATGAGCATTGAACTTGATCTGCCACACGTCCTGTCTCTCTGCCACTGTATTCCAATCTCCGTACCTTTTCTTGGATTGTCGAGAGATCCATGGGACATTTCACAATGTCTAGATAGTCAGTGCCTCCTTCCTCGATACCGGTTTCAGGAAAAGGGTATGACACTTCTTGGTTTCATCTCAGTGTGTCCACTATGCTCTCTAAGATGTTTGACAGGCCAACCTGTTTGAACAGAACCCAAAAACCAAAAGAAGAAGAAAAAAATGAAGTGACAGCTTGACGAACAATGTATTTGTTCCCATGATCCATGCATTTCTAGACTTTCGATCTGAGATTTCTCGTTCAAGTTTTCAGTGCAATACGAACCCGTTTAAGATGGATTAACTAATCTATGAAAACAAGTGATACAACTGAATCTCAGATGCAGCAGCTATGCCGAATAATCAACAGAGAACAGAACAGGATAAAAACACAAGGTGGGTTATATATCGGATATGAAAACGCTAATGAGTAAGACAGTGACTAGCAATGGTTAAATAATTACAGAACCCTAATGAGTCTTAAAAAGTAGAGCAAATGTAGTAGTGAAGAATGTTTTACCTCTCCTTTTCTTCTCCGTTTCGGTTGAGGTTTGTCCATCTCGGATACATAGCAGCTTCTGGAGCTATGGCCTCTTTCTGGCATTCTTCTTACGTTTCTTCTCGATCGGTGATCTTCTAAATATACTTTTTCCCTTACATCTGGTTGAAGCTTCTTTCTCTTCTTCTTGGCTTTTTGCCGTTCCTCTTCCTTCCTCTCTCTCCTTCTTACTTCTGCATATCTTAGAATCTCAGCTATCTGTCCGGGTTCATCTGACACCACCAAGCCATCATAACTTCTTCTTGCCCTCCCTTTCGTGTGCCTCTCCGTAGTTCCCTCTTCTCCCCACCAAACTCTATCCCCTCTGGGTCTCCCCTCCGACAAGCCCTCTGCTATTCTGAAACTTTCCTGCCCCTGAAAGCTCGCAAGCTCAGCCATTCTTTTCGTTTTCCAGGACTCGAACTGCGGACTCTCTTCAAGACTACTCCAGTCATTTTCAAATCTCTCCTTAGAATGTTTTATAACGAGTTTCTTCTGAGGTTGTTCTCTTTCTGTCGGGGGCCGTATCACAAGGTGGAACCTCCCAGATTCAGCTTGATCTCTATATCAGAACTTACTGAAGGTTGTGGGATAAGCCTGCACGAGACAACCTGCTCTCTTTCTGTATTAGACGATAGTTGCTCAGAAACAGATACCTTGTGAGATTCGCTCGACCATCTATCTCCGCTAACTGAAGGCAGCATAGATCGTGAAGGCCTATAATATTCAACTTGTAACTCTTCGGGAATTGCTTTATTCGAAATCTTGATTTTGCAGATACTGGATGAGGGCTTAGCCCCAGTTTCTATATCAGACACAGCTGATTGGTCGGAACATCCTGGAGCTTCCGGAACAGGGTTATCAGTGGGGCCAGTAAACCTAAATCTCAAAGGTGGCCCTTAGTCTTCAAAGTTGAAGTCTCACCTTCGGGAACCTCAACCATGGGAACTTTCACAACGGTTTTTTGTGCAGATTTGCTCTTTACAGGTTTTGGCTTGGTCTCTGCTGAAAGATCCGAAGCAGTTGGCTTTCCAGCAGACCCTATGCCCATATCTTCAGGCTGAGACTGTATTTTCTCTGTACTTTGGGGCAGTGGTTATTGGTTCTCCTGTATCCATACTGACCATCAACAAGCAAGACAACACAGTAAAAGAAATGCTTTTCTCTTCGGAGATACTAATGGATTCATAACTTCGTTAACCAAGGAACCATACCTGACCGCAGGCTCCACATACAAAGTTCTCTCGTGCCGATTTCTTTTCCTTGAAAACCTGCTTTAAACCAAGAGAAGAGGCAATTAAAAACAAAAAGTGAAACTGGAATACCTTTAGGTTATCACCCAGTATTTTGACCTTCCTTGGAAGGCTTAATAACAGAGCTACCAAACTGCCAAAAGAGGAGAGGGTACAAGGTGATCCAACGCCTGAACTGAAAAGAAAAAGATGATGATTGGTTTCTCTTCAATGGCATTTGCTTTACTAACAGGTTCAACAGTCTGTGCCCTTATAATGGGTCGTGGAGGAGGAAAGGATGTGCATTCTCTTCAATGGCATTTGCTTTGGTTTTCTTTTTTTTCTTCTTCTTCCCATCATCTGAATAACCATCACAGTGACAGTCTAGCAATTTTTTCACAAAAAAGGGTTAAAAAGCACATACTCTCCATGAGCAATTGGCTCTTCAATTTCTTCTTGTATTTCAACTTGAGGCCTCCGCCTCATCTTGAGGCCCTTAACACCATCTAGTGGCCTCTTCCCCTTCCTCACACTCCTCAGCATCAAGTAGATTTTCTAGATCCCTTCCGATTCATTATCATTATCGTCCCCATCAAAAGCCGATAAGGACTGAAATTGCCGATCCCAAATCTCCTGACATTTTTCCCGTGCCTGTTGTTGCAACTGTAGGAAAGACATTCTCTGCCCACGAGCATAGTTACATATGGTTGTAGGATCAACCCTAATGCTAGACACAGCCTGCTTAGCGATTATCTTATCGGAAACATTGAACTTGAGAAGTACCTAGAAAAAAGATCCACCAAACATAACATGTGGTCGACAAACCAAGATGCCGTTTAGTTTCACCTGAACAAGTAGCAACGTTTACGCAGAATGAAGAAAAGATACTTTCGGTTACCGGAAACGTAAATGAAAGAATCATACCTCTCGAGCAGCCTCCATGCTTAATCTGCGAAGATCAGCATCTGTATCTGTGACAGTGGAACCCCCACGACCTGATGCTTCCTTTTTTCTTTGCAAGTCCAGCAAGAGCAATAGCTTCATCCGGGAGCTGAGTCACTGCAGCCGCGGTGCCGGCAGGCAACGTTAGTTTTGTGATTCCTAAATGTTTGAGCCGATACAGTCCAGCTAGCATACTCTCATATGCACATACCTAGACCAACAAATCATATTAGAACTCATGCATCTTCAAACTTATTTACCAGACTCTGCTCCAAAAAGGTTGTAAATTGCGATTTTAAATTACAGAAAATAGATTTAAAAAGAAAAAGATAAGGTGGAAAAAACAAAAGGCAGGAATTGAACAGTCCTCAGACTGGAACTTAAATGATGGTGAAACTTACATGCTCTGGAGCCACCATCTTTTGAAGTTCACTCCCAGGTGGAATGTGAAAATCATGTTTCATGAACCAGCAAGGTCGGCCACTTCTATCCTTCTGCAATTTGAATGTCAATATAAAGGAATACAATGCAACGAAAAATCTATCACGAAAACGCATGGAAATGAAAAATGAATAAATGAGCAATCACTGTCTTCATGATTAAGTGCAATCGTGCATGGAAATCTTACAATCTGTTACCTTCAAAACAGCACAAGCTTTCATCTTTTTTCTCATCTGCAGCAATTGGCTGGTGCAATCCACGCTTCATAAATTCTCGGTCACTAAGTATGTCCTGGAGACATTACCTCCATCAGGGGTTCCTGAAAATGTATTCTGTGCCCCATTAATTTTACGGTATACAGAAGGAGAAGCTTAATCAATCTCCTGAGACCTAAACATAACCAAAATAAACATCCCGTTTCTCTTCGATTATTCCCCCACAATTAACACGCATCGTATATCCTTTTACTTCCACATCTTCTACACCCCTCCATGACCCTTAAACTTTGTACAGAGAGCAAGTACATATACACATATCCAATGAAGGAGCTAAAGGATATATTGATAATGCCTAAGATAATGGTATTTAATTCTGTTGAGCTGTCACTATCCATTAATAAGCAGCCAAGTCTTCATACGAAAATAACTTGCCATGAAACTATTATTGATGAA